AAAATAAAAATAAAAACTTATTTCAAATTATTAGTAGTGATTTTCATTTTTCATTGTAATGATTTAAATTTTTTTTAATTTTTTTGACTTTTTCTTATTAAGTTGCATGCAAATTAAATATTCTAGATTAAATATATTTGTTAAATAAATATGATACATTATTTTCGAGATATATTTTGTTTGTAAAAAAAGTAACACTTCTTATTTATGTTGTTCAAAAAAATACATATTTTTTAAAGTTCTTTATAAAATGTTAACGTAATAAATTGTGTTTTACAATTTTTTTAATATTGTTATATTAATNAATACTTAATTATTATCTTTATAAAATGTTATATTATTAAATCAAAAATAAATTACTTCGTTACTAAATTTAAATTAAATTAAATTAAAGAAATTACAAAAAACAAAAACAAAACTTTTAAATAGTTAATTTGATACTAATATTGATAGATTTATTTTTGAAATTTTATGATATCTTCAAATTTATATTTTATTTAAAAAACAAAAACATTATCTCTTTCTCAAAACCACATAAAAACCGTATTAGAATATCTATAGAGATGGAATAAACGAAACACTAATATCGAGATATATCATGCTGCATTGCGTAAGTACCCTTCTAGTTATCCAAAAATGAGATTTCTTTATTTCATAGTTACTAACTTCAGATTTCAATTATGAATATGCATGTATGCATGGTTGGATTCTGGTGAAAACTTCCTTTTCTATGAGAACACTTCTAGTGTCACCGAACTTTTCTTCGTGCATATTTTTTGTAATGAAGGGCACTTTTGTCTTTTGGTTTTTTGCGTGCATCTAGCTAAATATGATTTGATAAAACTTTCCAAACGTATGCTAAGTTTCGGTATTTTCTCTTATGAATGTGTAAGTAAGTAAGGATGATAACTTTTATCCAAGAACAATAACTTATTCGCCAAGAAAGAAGGCAATGGTTGATAGTCTTACCCAGTAAGTAAGGATGCTAACTTTTATCCAGTAAACATTTAACGAGTTATAAACGCTTACTATCAATCTATTTTGATGGACGAGATTGTTACTTCATAAGGTAAGTGAGAATGATGATTCTTACCGATAAACACTTATCCGATAAGTGTTTTAAATAAACGAGACTTCAGTATTTAATTTTATAGAATTTCATCCTCCAAACTAATGGTTGGTTGGATTTTTTTTAAAAACATAAATGTATTCATTGCTACACTTGGCTGCCCCCATCACATTTAAATCTAATGACAAAAACACCCCTACAAGTATAGAAAGAAATGCCTCATGTTTTCCTCAAAGCGTACATTATAAGTTGTTACAAAAGTGGTTGATTTTAGGGACAAAATTGTACATTACAAAAAAGTTTAATATTTTTTATAATTTTTTTTCTCAAATATAATATCATTTTAATATAAAAAAAAAGTTACACGTTTCGTCCACGGGGTTATATAGAATTACGGATTGGGTCCTTAAACAAAATAGTTACATCGATATTCACCTGTGTTTTCACTTTTGTTATTGATTGGGTTCCTTGCCACAAGCTTTTTAACGACTACTCTGTTAAACTAATGGAATCTGTCTTTTTACCGCACGCACACACGTATGCACACACAAAGATAAATTTTTGCCGCCCCCTCTCCCTGTCTTCGATCCCTCACTGTCATCCATCTCCCTTGTTCCGGCACCCTTCTTTGATTGAAAGGAGCAACCGTTAGTAGAGTTATGACAAGGGATCCAACTTGTAACCAAAGTGAAACCCCAACAGCTATAGACGTTATTTCGTTTGAAGGACCTAATCTACAATTCTTATGAAATTACAGGGATGAAATCTTTAATTTTACTGTATCATAGATTCTAAAAATGTGTTTTTTGGTATTTGAAATGGTAAAGAAACAGTGAGGTGTCAGCAATGGGTTGATTTTAAGTAAAGAATGAGATCCTGTTGCCATGCACAACACATTCACATGAGAAACATGAAATGGATCTTTATTTTCCTTCAAAAAGGAAGCCAAGTATAAGTGATTCACATGTGATTATGATGTTTAAGTAAAGAATAATCATGTGATTTTTGAATTTTTTTGTAAAGTGGATTAATTATATGATGTATGAATTTATACAAATGGTTATTTAGAAAGATTCAGAAAATATTAACATTGATGAATCCATAAAAAAGGGGTTGACCAAATTAAGTCAAATCCTAATGTTTTAGTCATTAAGCTATAAACAAACAAACAGCCAAATATGATTTACGAAATAAACTTCTTATTCCATTAAGCCTGCTAAGGTATAAACAAATACCCCATTAGAACTTGGATCATAAGAAACAATACTGTTTTCGTGAGACTGTATAGATAACATTAAACCTTCACTATATTTTTGCAGTGAATGTTCGATATTTTCTTTACCTTTACTATGTTTTATTGTGAAGTTTTAGTATTATTTTATGGTCTTAGGAGAAAAATTGATTTCATGTGAACCCAACCCATTAGAAGTCTAAATACATATATTTGCAAAGTAATTGTTTTATTTAGATATTTACCAAACGATTATATTTCTTTCAGAACTAAATCATACAGAGAGTTAAAATGGTAATTTGTTGTCGTTCAGACCGTCCCACCATATTTCATTATGCACTATATAATACATAAGCTATTAAACATTCTCACCACTTAACCATTCTGTATCAAAACATTAAACAATCCCCACATATTTAGCGAGTTCACACTACAACAAAATCGGGTTTATAGGACGCACAGAATCTCTAAGTGTCCCAATAGACCATTTTTTAGGACTTAATTTATAGAACCAAAATATAAAGTGTCATATATAAAGGTGTTGTAATAAGTTTATATGATGTTTTTGGGGCGTCTTAACAAGTTTTTGAGAAGATTTTTAATACAAAATATCGCATTAGTAACTTTATAGGATACTTTTGAGAAATTATCCTATAAACTCAATTTTTTATAGAACACTTGTTTTTATAGGACAATTTTTCAAATAATATTTAATAAAGTTGATAATGAGACGTTTTATATTAAAAGTGTCATAAAAAAACGTATTACGACATCAAGAAATGTCATATAAACTTATTACAACATCTTTAGACATGACACTTTATTTTTTTGGTCTTATAAAAGGGTCTATTAGGACGCTTAGAATTTAGGAGTGTTCTATAAACCCGATTTTATTGTAGTGTGATAGTTTTCATATATAACATTTCAAAAATCATATTATACAAGACATAACATTCATGATATTAACTGCTGTCATCTACCACATATTTACATAAGTTGTGATGGCTTGTAGAATACTTGACTTCAAAACAATTATGCATATGAATTCTCCAACAGTGAAATTCGTGTAATGATCCCATTGAACAAAAAGAACCCTTTTCATATCGTACACACTACACGGTATAGACTATAGAGGTACGGTCATTACATTTATTGGATTCCCACAGTTTATGCTACGATAGACCCAACACGTCGTTTCATGCATAATGCACTTCCAGTTATATTGGAATTCATTTATCACGTTTTGTAGATCACATGAAAGCTCACGTTCTATTCAAGTTTGTCAAAATCGCTTATAACGATACCTACGTACATCATAACATGCATGCATTCTGTGTATTTCTACTGATTACTAATATCGACTTAACGTCATATTAATGAACAAAACTGCTCGACATCACACCCAGCGTTGTGTGTAAGCGATTTCATACACGTGCTAACCGCTAAGATGTCGCTTTCAATCTTGCTTACATGAAGGTCGCCTCAAGCAAGTTGCTTAAGCCACCATTCCCCCAGCCTAGTCCCTTGTGACTTAATGATCGACTAGTCGACTTTCAAGTTGCATTGTTCCCTCACCTTTTTAAGTGACTTCTATGTCGCATTTTCATGTCGTCTACACCATCAACTTCATGAGTTGCAATTGTTGCTGGACAATACGGTATTCAATCCATGATCCACATGTGTTCTTTAGAATGTAATAGTTTAGTTTACATAATCCTCAACTTTTCATTAATGACCATGGACTTTTCTTCTCCTTAATTTTCATCTAAATGTATACATATACATATACATATACATATACATATACATATACATATACATATACATATACATATACATATACATATACANACGGTGCACGTTAAAATACGTAAATTATGAATATAAAGTTGTGTATCTAAATGTATACATATACATATACATATACATATACATATACATATACATATACATATACATATACATATACATATACATATACATATACATATACAGCATTGGCCCTTTAAAGTATAAAGAAAGTAAAAGAAATGATACCAAATAAACCTGATAGCTATCTTGTCCCTTTTTCAAAGATACCATTACAAGTAATGTGCTGATGACTTCCTCCATAATTGAAAAGCTGAAACACCACCATATCTCATTCCTTTCCTGTTCCATTAGGATAACTAAAAGTATATTTTTGTCTCTTGAAATCTGATGTATGTAATTACATAAAAAGTTTGAAAATTTATTGATCTATGTATTCTATTAAACAATATCCAATTACAACTTTCCAGTTTCAAATATTAGAATCTCACATCAGCTAGACTTGAACTATTTTTTGTATATGTATGTTGGAACCTTTGTTATATCTTCAAAAGCTCTTTTGAAAAGCAATCTAAAGGTTACACGTATTCACATGGTAATTTACTATTTGGGAACTTGACATTATAAGTTGTGCCCGCCTAGCCACCATTCGAGGGGGCGTGTGCTAGACGAATTTTATGAAAGCAAGATTCCCTTTTTCGGGAGAATAAAGATCGAAAGAGTAAGTTAAAGAACCGAGCTTCAAGACGACGTGTCGCTCCAATCTCTTTACGTTAGGAATTCGTTGCCATTATATAAGTAGCCACGGCCATGCGATAGATCTTCATCCCTTTCTTATACGTTCAAACCCGAAAGAAGAACAAACCTTTTCTTCTAAAAGAAAAATCAACAATGGCGAATGTCGATTGCGAAGAATATATGTTGGTGGATCTTGATGAGGTGGGAGTTTGGGATTTATGTTGGATTCTAATCTGCGAACACATGGGAGCAAGAAGATTCATAAAATCTAACAACGACAAGGAGTTGGATGGAACATTCTTTCGAAGGTTCATTATCTTCATCTCCATTGTCATCATTAAAGTTATCAAACTGTTTTCCAAAACCCTAGAACGTTTGGGGTGGCTGGTTGAGTCTTCCCTCAACCTCTGGACGCAGTACGGTAGCTTCTCCATGCTCGTCTCCAAAACATTACGAGGTTTGTTTTTATCTTGATTTGTTCTTTATATGGTTATATATATATAGTTGCATTATTATACAACCTTTTACATTTGTACAATCAATACAATCCAATCTCAACTGTTCTTTTAATTTGATTAATATATGATTTCATAGAAGTTTTGATTATTTCCTAATATAAAGTATTGATCATAATTAATGAACCATATTAATCTTTCATAAATATTCAAATCATAATAAATGAACTCTTATCATTTCCATAAATATCTTGATTTATTAGGTTGTATTAGTTATACAAATAAGATGGGTTGCATTTAAAACTATATCTCTCTCTATATATATATAATTGGTTGCATTTACATTAGGTTTTCATGCATGGTTTAAAAAAAGGGAAAAAGAAAAGATTTGAAAATACCTACGAATACTATTCATTATAATAAAATTAGGTTTACATTACATCAACAATGTATAAGTTTATTAATCGATTATTTTATCAGTCTTAAATTTATCGGACCAAACACTAAAACGTCATATCTAAAAGTGTTGTAACAAGTTTATATAACGTTTTAACAAAAAAATTTAGAACATTTTTAAAATAAAGAGTTATATTAACTATTTTATAGAATTTTTTGAGAAATATTCTATAAACACATCATTTTATAAAATATTTTTTCAAATAATGTCCTATAAAATAGATAATTCGGTGTTTTATTTTATAAATGTCTTAAAAAACTTGTTAATATTTAAGACACCAAAAACTTGTTATGATTTAAGTCACCTAAAAACGTCTTATCAATTAATCCTATATACTTGTTTTAGTAAGATACGTTTTCAAATAGCATCCTATAAAATAATTAGTAGGATGCGTTATTTAAAAAATATCCTAAAATTTGTGTTAATTAAGACGAACAAAAAACGTTATATAAACTTATTGTAACATTTTTATATATCACGTTTTATAATTTGCTCCTGTAAACTTAAATCTTATAAATCAATCTCTTACAACATTTAAACATTCCCAATTTCGTCCAAGTGGTTCTTATTTATTTACGACTTATAAATTAATCAAAATTCTTTGAATATTATATGAAATTGTCCAGGGAAGAACGAGGAACTACGTCGAATGTCGCCCGATTTTTCGTCTGTAATTGGGTTGACAGATACACGACTGGATTTGGATGATGAAATCACACAGGAAGATCCACGATACAAGAGTGCACTAGCGATCATGGCTGCCAAAACTGCATATGAGAACCCAAATCGTGTCCAGAAAATAGTCCATGATCATTGGAAGGTTTCTTCATTTAATGAACAAGAATAATGCTGATTTTTATGATAATTTAGCCTTATGAGACAATTAAATCTAATTAATCTGCAAAACATTCTTTGTACAGATGGATTTCGTAGGGTTTTACAACTGTTCGAATGGTAAGAATTCATGATATGGTCGCATATTTGGCGTTTTATAATGCCGATTTTGTTGTAATGTGAATTAAACCACGGCTTATGTTTGCAGAATATGTGGTAAAACAAGACACAGTCGAGAAGAGACACCCAACGCAAGCGTTTATATTCAGCGATAAAACTGGTGATCATGAGGTAATCTGCGTTTCCTTCCGAGGAACATCACCGTTCAGCGCAGATGATTGGTGTACGGATCTTGATCTTTCATGGTACCATCTTCGTGGCGTCGGTAAAGTCCACGCAGGTTTCTTGAAAGCCCTAGGGTTACAAAAGAACAAAGAAGGGCACCCCTCATGGCCTAAAGAACTCAAAGAAGACAACAAACCCAATGATAGAATCTTCGCTTACTACGAAATCCGAAAAGTCCTTCGAGAACAACTCCAGAGAAACGAAGATGCACGATTCATCGTCACCGGCCACAGTCTAGGTGGTGCACTTGCAGTCTTGTTTCCAGCAATATTGGGGTTCCATAAAGAGGTGAAGTTGCTTGAAAAGCTTGAAGGTGTGTATACATTTGGACAGCCTAGGGTTGGAGATCATAAGTTCTGTGAGTACATGAAACAATTGTTGGGTGCAAGAAGATATTTCAGGTTCGTTTATGCAAATGATATTGTGCCAAGACTACCATTCAGTGACTCCATCTTTCAGTTCAAACACTTTGGCTACTGTTATTACTTCAATAGCTTCTACAAAGGACAGGTATGGTCATTATAAACCCTAATTTTCAGTTCCCAATACAACAAAATCGGGTTTATCTGCAAAGCAAGTGGTCGCCTTGAGATTATTCGGCTCGCATAGCGGGTTGAATATCCAGGTTGATCAAAAAAAAAAAAATCGGGTTTATACCATTTGGGTTGTGACGTATTGATTTAAGGTTCAGGGGGTGTATACGTAATAGAAATATCACTACAAGACAATTGGGTTTATGGAACGTCTAAAATATCTAAGCATCATGATATAATACTATATAGAACTTAAGTTTATATGATCAAAATATAAAGTGATTTATCTAAAAGTATTATAAAAACCAAAAGGTTTATAGAATGTTCTTAGGCGTTTTAACAACTTTTTTTAAGACGTTTTTGAAATAAAATATCGTATTAACTATTTTATAGACTAATTTTGAAATATGTCCTATAAATCCATATTTTATAGAACATTTTTCGAAGTGTTGTACAAAATAACTAATAAGACACTTTATATTAAAAATATCCCAAAAAACTTGTTAAAACGTCCAAAATTTTTCTATAAACTTTTTGTAACACTTTTAGATAGGGTGTTTTGTAGTTTGTTTCTATAAACTTAAGTCTTGTAAACCATTTTATTAGGATGCTTTGACCTTTTTAAACGTCCTATTAACCTAATGATGTTGTAGTGTCTCATCTTCACCGGGTTTAATCCATGCAACGTCAAAGCCCTTGTAGTAATGGAGGTTCATCTACAATGGCTCCAAGCCATCCTAGTCCCAAAGGCTTAGTCGGTACACGTAAACTGACACAAATACATGCGATTACCCAAGAAAAAAAATGGAAGTTGTAATAATGTTATAAGACATTTTTGGACGTTTAACAACCGTTTTAGAACACTTTTGAAAAAATTAAGCGTCATATTATTTTTTTATGACATTTTTAAAAGTCCTCATAAAAACATGTGTGCATATATAGAACATTTTCTCAAAAGTATCATGTAAAAAAATTAAGACATTTTAGGTTTAAAAGTTCAAAAAAACTTGTTAAAACGTCTTATAAACTTATTACAACAACAACGCTTTAATTTATATAAGTCGTGCAATTATTTAAAGTCTATTATGATTTTCTACGTCTTATAAACTTGATTTTGTTGTACAAGCTTTTAAGATGCAATCGCGGATAAATTAATCAACCGTTAAAGCAATGTGTTGGAATGGTTTCAATTTTGCAGGTTATGGTAAAAGAACCTAACGAGAATTATTTCTCAGTCCCATTAATACCATTCAAGTACTTGAATGCCGGTTTCGAAATCGTAAGAAGTTTCATATTACCGTATGCGTACGGAAGAGATTACAAAGAAGGGATCCTTCTTTTGGGAGTTCGATCATTTGGGATGCTGTTCATTCCTGGAGTATCTGCTCATTGTCCTCAAGATTATGTCAATCTTACTCGATTGGCTTCTCCTGATACTTTCCAGCATGCATTGCAAGATGATCAGTACTTTGATGAATGACTTCATCCTTAATTATATATGGATTGGAATAATTAAGACAGTAATTACTAACTAATAAAGCTTCAAGCACCCATGTATATATGTGTGTGTATATATACACACACATATATATGTATATATACATACATACATATATATATATATATATATCGAAATAAGGATGAGTGGTGCTATATATATGATCACCATTTGTAGCATCGACTTAATTTGTTTGCTTTATGTGTGTAATCTATCAATTTATTATGAAAATATTATGCTTTTCTTTATGTTGTGTTCTCGAGTCCTTTTTTTAACGAATGAAATGAAGGGAAAGTACAGCAAAACTTGAATTTTTTTAGAACGGAAAAGAGCAGAAAGTAAAGTTAGATTTTTCCTTCCAAAACTTCGCTATGAAATGTGGGAGGGAAAGAGAAGAAAATGATAGGAAAAAATTAGTAACAGTTAAAAAAACATCTATAAAACACTACAAAAGAAATGACTTTTACCCACAAAAATCAACCAGGGAGATTTCCATGTAATGACCCGGAAAATACCAATGGTTCAGTAAAATCCAAGTTTTTCAAGAAAATACGAACGGATCACCAAGAGAACATCTGAGTAATCTGTCACTGATGAGAAATGTTATTGAAATTTATATTTACAATATCATTGTTGGTAATAAGAAATTAACTAGACTTTTCGGTCTAATCCTTGTTTTTATAACTAATGCATTTTCAGATGTGTATCATGTTGAGAATGCTAGCATGGGGAAAATGATAAGTTGTAAACCTTGAGTTGAAAGTGGGTTCACTTACCGATTTGCTAGTAGTACCGTGTAAATTATGTTTCCATTCCAGGCTCAAGTTGTCAGATATAGATAAGAATCTTAACTTTGTGGTTATTGATGGAAGTCAGATCGCTACAAATGGTATCAGAGCCTTAATTTAAATGAACTAGGTTGCTGATCGCCTAGATTTAAGTTGAGGGAAAATATTTAGTGATTTTTTTCTCTCAATTATCTAATGTGAGGTTAATGTTGACGAGCTTCCCTTATGGATTGGTTTAAGTGAAATAGGTGTTTAAGATCGGTGTGAAGAAAAAAACTCCTATTGAATATCTAAAAGGTGTCATGATGATTTTGGGGTACGATATTGTGGTGTGATAGTTGTGTGGTTGAGAAAATGGCGTTGTATGCCAAGGTAGACGTGTAAGCGATTGCTTGGTCATCGAGTTTTGTGGTTATGTCAAGTGATAGCATTAGATTATTTTGTAAGGTGTGTTGTGTTACGAGTTTTAGTTGGGACGCATTGGTGGGTATTCAAGGCTCTTAAGTAAAATCGATTAATCGGGATTTATTGGCAATTATGTGCTTATCTTGAAATCAGATGTGAGGGTTTCAATAGTATTTAATGACTTCTTACATGAATGGTTTATGTTTTTATTTGGTTGCATTGTAATTATGGGTCATTTTATTTTGTACCAATTGGACATTGATGAAAATGTCAGGTGTAGTTGGTTAATGGTGCTTAGTAGTAGATTAAAGTAATATGTCATACAACTCGGTTTGCTCTCACCTAAGTGTTTCCAACTTATCAATGCAATGATCCATCTCATCCTCCCCCGATGGTTTGTTCAAATCTATTTCATGTGTGTCACAACCTTAGATAAATCATCCTCATTTATTGAAGGTTGTTTGCTCTTTCGTTTTTTTCCTTTGAGGATAAGGATGAAAACCAACGTCTACTTCCAAAGGAAGTGCTTCTTACGTATCATAGTAGTCTTGTGTATTATCTATACTATCTTATAAATCATTTAACCCACTCTTAAAAACTCTTAAACTCGTTCATCCCTAAACGATTTCATCCATATCCGATTTCATCCCATATCTGAATTCGTGTAACTAACTGCAGATAAACACAATCATATACAGGATAAACATCTCATTTTAAATATAAAAAATCTAAAATATAATTAGAATAATAATTGATTTCTAACAGAATATTTAATTATTATCTTTATAAAATGTTATATTATTAAACCAAAAATAAATTATTTCATTATTAAACTTAAATTA